TGCCCCAAAATACAGACAAAGATGTTAAATAAAACTGATGAAAGGTAAAACTATACATAGCACAGAGGGCTTCAAAAGATGATTTTTTTTTTTAATTTCATGATAACATTTGGACTAAGGATGCCCTGTCCAAATTTCTCTCTTTTTTCATTTCTTCCCTCTCTCCCACCTCAAGTTAACATGGAAAGTTTCAAAGTAATATTTGTGTCCCATACCTTCAGACTACACCTTTTTGGTAAGCTAATTTCTCTATTTATTGTAATACAGACTCCTAGAAAGCCTAAAAAACAAATTAGCCTTTGGATATCATCACTTTCTACTACTACAGCCATCCTTACCACACACAGGAGGTACTCTGATGCCATGTGCAACTTTTAACTCAGTTCTGCACGGAATTTTGGCTTCTGAACCTACACATGCAATTGCAAAACCTCAAAGTCAAAAAGAAAGATGAATAAAATGGGAGCTCAGTGAGTAAAGAGTGAAGTTTCCACCTGTTTGGGTCCCCTCCTTCAGACTGTACCTCCAACCTCTCTGGTCTACCTCAAAACTCGTGCCTTTGTGTTGCATTACTTTGCCTACCAGAAGCAGCAGATGCCTCCTTTCCAGTCCCATAGCTGAAGTTGTACTTGAATGAGACTTTTTAAACATCCTCAGAACAGCTCCATCACTCCAGATACCCAGTTTCACAGAATGAGAGCCTGGTGGGGGTTGGAAGGGACCTCTGGAGATCATTTAGTCCAATCCTCCTGCTAAAGCAGGGCCACCCAGAGGAGGGTGCCCAGGATCAGATGCAGGCAAGTTTTGAGTCTCCAGAGAAGGAGACTCCACCACCTCTCTGGGCAGCTGCTCCAGGAGTCCATCACCCTCACAGTAAGTTTTTTTTCCTTTTGTTTATGTGGATCATCCTGTGCTCATTGCCCCTTGTCCCATGACTGGGCACCACTGAAAAGAGTCTGGCACCATCCTCTTGACTCCTGCCCTTTAGATATTGATCAGATCCACTCAAATCTTCTCTTCTCCAGGGTCAACAGCCCCAGGGCTCTCAGCCTCTCCTCCTCACAGATGCTTCAGTCCTCTCAGCATCTCTGTAGCTGCTGCTGGACTCTCCAGTAGTCCCCTGTCTCTCAGCCTGGGGAGCCCAGAACTGGAGGCAGTACTCCAGAGGTGGCCTCCCTCAGGCAGAGTTGAGGGGGAGGAGAACCCCCATCAACCTGTTGTCCACACTCTTCCTAATGCACCCCAGGAGACCACTGGCCTTCTTGGCCCCAAGGCCACACTGCTGGATCATGGGCAACTTGTTGTCTACCTGGACTCCCAGCAGGTCAACTCTTAACCCCTACTGGTGCAGGGGGTTACTCCTCCCCAGGGGCAGGACCCAGCACTTGCCCTTGTTAAACTTCAGGAGGTTCCCCTCCAGCCAGCTCTCACTGGGTGGCAGCACAGCCTTCCAGGGCATTCCAGTAACTGAAAGTCAGCTGAACTACCTGAGCTCACAGCCTCGTGGGACAGAGCTGCTGCCTGACACTGCTAGACATGCACATCTTTCAAGCAGTAATGGATGCTTTGAGCCTTCACAATTTATTCAACCACCCAACATAGACACAAACTAGCTTTTTATTCAAAAAAGGCTGCTCTTACCAGACTGAGCTCCTTTCTAGCTGTCAGCAATAGGTTTTCTTGATGCTGCTTTGTCACCAGAAAACATCAGTTCCTTAACATCAATACATTGTTAATGCTGTGGTTCGAATTTTACTCCTTTGGAGAATCTGCCTTTTCATACTACTGAGTGTCCATTCTTCAATTTCTTCTATTTCAACTATTTTTTTACTGCCTTCTGCCTGTAATTACTTTCCAGTCAGCACTGTCACGAGAAGCCTCATGCTTTCATAACTCATTCAATGAGTTAACAAATTATTCACTTTTTTCCTCTAACATCATAGCTGCCCGAGGAGTAAACTCGTATTGTAAACACCAGCAAGGAGAACGTTTTGTTTTGTCTCCAGCCAACTGGCTGCTACTGCTAATCAGAGCTTACAACAGCAGGAGTTCAAAAGGCAAAACAAAAACTGAGCAGTGCAGTGACTTCACTGGAGTTTCAAGAGAGAGACATCTCACATCAAACACTGGAACGAAAATACTGGAGCTATTTCGAAGGCTGGAGCATGACCTGTAGGTGGTGCTGACATCCCATCATTCCAGGAGGTTAAGGCACATCCCGGTGTATTAAGGGATATTCTGGACTATGACCCTTTGGCAGCACCTTCAGGCACAAGGCCTGAAGATTTAGCAGTTATAATTTCTGTGAAATCCTAAGAGAGTGGGTTTAAATCTCAAACCATACAGCATCATTCAAGCACAGAGCAGATGGACACATGCAGGACAGCACGTTGCAAGGCAGAGTGTCCAAGACATTTCAGACACCACAGTTCAGGGCTGTGAAAGCTAACAAGGAGTTTTTGGAAAATAATAAAAAGATTAAAAAAAATGAAAGCTAAACAGCAGAGATGCATGTGATAAATGACCTAGAAATTGTTCTTCTCAGCTCCTCTGAATGAGTTTGAGTTGGAGCCAGTAGTTGCATTTTATTCTGACATTTATCCCCAGGAAGCCTAAGCTGTATTGCTGTACACAGAGCAGTATCTAACACGGATTAGTATCTGGCCAAGGTGCCTCAGGAAAACATCAGCTCCATGCTGCTGCCATCAAGCTGCTCTTGGAACTTACCAACCTGACAACAGAGCTGAAAAGGTCCAGTTAAAATGGAGATGGGCTACTAAAGGTACACTTAAGATCCTATAGCTGGAAAAAAAAATTAAATCTGACCTCTTCTATCCTAAAAAGGAACACATATTGTTGTAATAAAATACTTAAAGAAATTCAGGCAGATTTTTTTAAGTTACCCAAACTGATTTATTGACAATTTAAATGTGACATATTTACAGCACTGTTTCTAAAATAATTTAACAATTTTCATAGATTTATAAAAGCACTGATAAATAGGAGACCCTGACAATTACCAACCACAAATATTTCCCCACGCTACTGAACTACAACAGTAGTTCTTATCTTTTTTTTTCCCCCCTCCTCTTTTCTTAAGTCCCATAATGGAGCTGCTTTACCTCCACCCAACGTGTAAAACTGTCAATACCAAAATATAATAAAATGAACATGCAGTGTGAAAGCTGTACCAGAGCAAGTGATTTCAGATGTTAGACTACAGTAAAAATATCTCAATGCAAAGTGTCTTCCACACAGAATGTACTTGTGAAAAAATAAGCTTCTAAAGAGCTATTGTGTTATCTTTAGAGACGTTAAAAACTACAATACTAGTACAGACATTTACAGTAACTTCCAATTGTGTGGCAGTTTTCACACACATCTAAAGAGTCAAATGAAACCAGTAATTTACAAACCCCACTGCCTCAAGGCAGTGGTTAGTTAGCTTATGGATAAACAACAACAACAAAAAAAATGAAGGTGCTGATATAATTTATGGTTTTGAAATTAGACAACGTTTCATTCTTGCATGACACCAAATTATTCTATCCTTGGATCAAGAAATTACTGTGGTGAAGTCGTGTCTCTCAAGCAGGAAGTCAGTTTGGAAGCTGGAGAGAAGATGGACTTGTAGGATATGTGTCTTAGGTCCCAGGAGACCTATAGAGAAAGGTATTGCCAAGCTGGACGCCCTGAATCACAATAAGCAGCAGCATGAGATATTTGTGGGGTCTTGGTTAAAGCAAACATTTTTCAAAACCGATGAGAAGTACACAAGGTAACCTGACACTTGAAATGTAAAGGTTCTTTCCATTTGCATCACAGAAGCCCCATAACACAGTGTACACAAACAAATACTTTTCTTTAAAAAAAACATATATTGCACAGCCAGAAGGTGCAATACCAGAATACTGGTATCCCTAGCACAAGTTTTCTATTTTAAATAGCTGTTTCCAACTATGCTATTCAGAACATCTCTGAGCCAACAGTTCAAAACCATTAAGAATGGTTTGTGTACATACCTAAATCGAGAAGTGTTTCCACAATGTGAGAAAAAACACAGGCACTTAAGATTATTAGTGCACAAAAAGTTATAGGCCACAATTGCATGACTATGAACAGTTCAGTACCAACAAGGACAAAACTCAACGAGGTCTTCCACTGATCAAGTCTAGAAACAAGAACTGTTCTACAAAGCACTGATAAGAAAACCATTCTCCAAACAATAATCCAACAATACGTTTAGACATTTAGGAAAAATAATTGCTGCAAAGCCTAATGTAACACAATATAAACCCTACTCGGTTCAAAAGATCTAAAGTGTCCAAATTCAGAAGTCCAATTTCTCTTCTCCCCCCCTCCAAAACACCATCGCGTGCAGCCCGTTAAAATCCAAATGTGCAAAAAGTTATAACCCACCTTTAGGAGTGCATCAAAAATAGGCTGAGTATTCAAAATATTATTTTAGTGGAAATTTTACAGCACCATAATTAGAATTCCCAGGGAGCTCAGAATTCTTGTTCTGATAACAAATCAGTTGACACTGTTGATCCTAAAGATCAGAAGAAACATTTTTGTGCATCTCCTGGTATCTGAAAAGTCACGGAGAGAAACAACTCTCACCTGCGCCTAAAAACTTACTGTAGTTCAAAATGAAATCAAACAATCACCTTGGTTGGCAATAAGTTCTCTACAGTATAGCATTAGTTGTAAATTTAGTAAACCTGCCAGATTAGGAATGAGAAGTTGCTGGTACTTTGCTTACTTGCAGAAGTACTGTTTTGTTTTTGTCTTTTGGGTTGGTTTTGTTTTGTTTTTCTTCTACGTTGTGCAGTTTGGCCCCTCCCTAGTAAGTGATTTACTATCAGGCTTTGAGAAAACACACGAGGTCCATTTCTGGCCCCCAGCTGCAAGGCAATAAACAAACACATCATATATACACGTGTGTGCACAGACACACACACACATATATAAACAAACATCAGTGTTCCGGCTTTCTCTTCTCATTTCCTATCATTTTCTTTGGTTAGAAGTCCGCAGGAGGAAATCAGAGGACCGAACAAAGGGCTGGTTCTCCCAACGCCTCCACCCCTACACATCACTAACTGGGAGGCTGGCATCATCCAGATCCAGCAGGCCAGGACCCTCCTCCTGAGCGCCGTTCCTCCCCTGGGGTTCAGTCACTTTGGAAGCTGGTTCTCTTGGAGCGACAGCCGGGATCTTGTAGCTCCCTGGCTTGGCCTTGGTAAAAGACTCGTGAAATCCTCGCTTCTCCAGGGCAGGGTGTTTGGCGTGAGGGTTTGGGACCAGAGGGCTGCCGTGAGGGGCTGTGGGATGTGTGGGGGCTGGGAGGGCAGGACGGAGAGCATGGCTGGGCTCGGAAGCAGGCTCGGTATGCTCCTGGAAAAGAAGAGCTCGTGTCAGGCGGGACCGCCGGCGTGGCGCTGGAAGGCGCAGTCACACCCCTCACTCTCAGACAACAATAAAACAAGACAGAAAATACACAAAGCAAAACGTCAGCCACAGCAGCAGGAGGCAGGTGCTTTCTCAAGGCAGTGTGTTATTAAATGTGAGCTTACAGCAGTATGTGACAGCAACATCAGTTTCTTCATTTGAGGAGATTAAATTTCTTAAATCAAGCTCAGCAGCTCTCTAAACTTTATAGTGATAGCCCAGCAACTGAGGCCTCTCGTTTCACCCAGGTGTGAAGAGACCTTTTGAAGATAAGCACTTTAAGGGCCATTGAAAGGGACATCTCTCCAGGAGAAAAATGTGTTCAAGGATATTCATATACACCAGGGACTCATATCCTCAACTTTGAAGTAATGCATCTTTTTCTGTTCCCTCTTCTTGGGGCACCAATTTCCCCAGTTTGTTCCAGGGACCAAAGAAAGCCAGTACCTATTCCATACTATTGAGACTGCATAACAATTTCCAAAGTTAATGGACCTAGAAAAGAAACTGGTCTTTAAGCTACTCCTAATTGGCACATTATTTTCTTGTGTTTATTATTAACTGCCATTCTGTTGACCTTTACACAGCTCTATTAGATAGATACTGTGAAAATAATTTTCCACCATTTATTTAGTGATGGAAACAAGTTCTCAGACTACCTAGGAGTGATTTGGCTCTCTAAAGCAGAGTAGATGCCACTTTAGACATCCTAAAATGCCACTTTAGACATCCTAGGGATTCCTGCCTGTGCTACAGCTCTATCTCCAGGACAAAAAACCAAACCTCCTCAGGTTGTGCATCAGTTCCATAAGGATATCTCACAGACCTTGGGACAGCTAAACCACTGCTGGGTAGGGTGTTAGGTGAGATGATCAAAGTGATGTGATGTTGCAGCAAATATTCCCCTCTGCATGCACGAGGAGCTGCTGCCCCTTCTGCCATCACCACCATTAGGACATGAACCAAAGGGATCTGCCAGCCCACTTGTGCACACAAGTCCACTCACTTTCCAAATGTGTTTGTTAGCCAAAAAAAAAACATCACAGATGTGTCCAAGCTGCAAATATCCATCCTAAATAAAATATTTTTTTTTGACAGCAGTTTTCCAACTTTCTTTTAGAACACAAATTCATCAATTTAATCATAATGGATTCTGCCAAGTACTACTGTATTTCTTTCTGTAAATTAATATTATAAGGCAGAGGAGCTGTGCAACTTTTGGACTTAAATTTCACTGACGTTTTCCATATAATTTACACTGCCTGCTTTGATATCTGACTTCATGCTCCAAGAACAGCTGCTGTAGGAGAACACACAACTCAGTGATTTACCTGCTGTTCTGATTAATGATTTTAGTTCAACACACAGGACAAAAGTAAGGGCTATTAGGACAAGATCTCCATAATAAGCTTTTTGCTAAATTGAACTGCAGGATACTCAGACTTTACTACCCACACTGCCTGTAACTTCACAATTAAGAGGCTATGCTGCTGCATTACTCCTAAGGTGTACTGCTTTGAACAGGGTACAGATTACACGTTATAATGCTGCTACATTTGAACTAAATGTCATGCAGAGACTTACAAGCCATGCAAATCAGGCTATGACATAATCCTTCCAAGGACCAGAGTTACAACGTGCCACGTGTGTGCACACATCTGTATTAGTTTGTGGGTAGCTTAAATTTAATTTTTGCTTTTGCGCAGTTTCAAAAAAAAAAAGTAAAGTAAAATGGAAATATGAACTCTCATGCAAATTAGTTTTTAATACTCTCCTGGTAAAATGACATCCCATAACTTATGTTTAGGTCTGTAGTATGCTTTGAAGTATAAATAAATGGGTTTGCTGTTTTTAATTCCCAATTGTTTTACCAGTAAGAAAGAGGGCAAACCTGTAAGTGAATGATACGATTTATGAGTTAGTTTTCAGTGATGGTGATGACAACAGGTAGTGTTATTTTTAGTTTTTTTATAGTGCAAATTAGTCTCTAGTCCCAGCCCTCTGTTAAGAAGGCAAGTTTACATGAGAGCCCACATACGTGCTGCATTCACCAGTTCTTGATGTATACCTCTGTATACAAGGATTCGACAGCCTTCTGGCCTGCCGCATCTGGAACACAGTGCAAAGCTAAGATTAGAGTAACCTAGACTTGGGGAGAGAAGAGAAGAGAGGGGAAAAAGAAAAGTGATGCAGGCAGTAGTAGCTAGATTGCTCAGTTAGCCCCACAAAAAAAATAAGCATACACAAAGAAAAGTTACCTGTGTGTTTTCATTGCCCCCAAAAGACAGAGTTTGTGATAGGAAGTTTTGTTTAAAAGCATGAAGCAGCTCCCAGCTGCAAGAAATAATTGAAAGCTCAGACTGAATTAACATGATATCAATGCCAATCTGTCAACAAAAGCCAGATTTAAATGATTACGTTTCAGAGTATGGGGGTAATGATATATTCAGCTTATTACAGAACATCCCACAGCCAAAAAGTGAAAACTGCAGCATCTGCACAGTAAAGGGATCCATCTGTTAAATCTGGACATACCTGGAGACACTGTGACACCACACTAACCTTCACTATTTTCACAATTTAATGTGCTTCGAACTGAGGATGTAACAGTTTAAACCCAAGTAGGTACAAAACAGGGGCATCCACATGGCTTCACAAATATCAAGATTTGTCACAGTGCCTTAGTTCAGTGATGCTAGATGGTGTCCACACTACGTTCCCAACAGCAGGAAACTAACTCCTGCGAGCAGAGATCTCTTGGAGAAGTCACCTGAAATTTGGATCTGCGTATACAGTAAACTATCAGCAACAGAAAATGACAGTTTAGCAGTGAGAGCTGATAAAACCAAATCAGGATACTGATTGCAAAACTCAGCAATTAGCAGAAACACCTCGCAGGAATTAGTTCCTATTTTACTTCCAAGCTATTAGTAGCTACAAAGATCATACTGAACTTGGAAGAATTCCTCTAGGTTAGCACTTGCATTATCTACATGTTCAAGACAATACAATGCACATAAAAATCACATACAGGTAAGGCTAAGGTAAGTGCTCAATTAAAAAAATGCCAAATAATTTAGAGCAGTCTGTATGAAAGTTCATGCAAAGATGCCACCTTACTACAGGACAGGATAGAGGACAGGAGAAAGGAAAAAACAACTAGAACTTCATGTGCACAAGTGAACATCAGCTGAACACATTTTCTGTGAGGCTCAGAATGACATACGGAAGCTGCTGATCTTCCAGGTCCCCGCTGTGCTACGATGGCCCCAGAAATTGCTTTTATCCAGCTGTGCATGTCTTCTGGGCTGTCTGCCTGCATCAGACAACATGACACCAATTCAGTACAGCCAGCTCTCAGCTGTCCCAGTGTCCTCACCACACACGTGACACCTTCACCCTGCTTTAGGGACTGCTCTGTTCCTTAAAGCCATAGGGACTTACATTTCTTAACCCAGACATTTCTTAAAATCTTACCCTGAATTTACTCCTATATGCATATAGTTATATAAAATATTAAGCAACAAGTATTTTTATATTATATACATATTCTAGACTCAAACTTTTACTTCCAACTAACCAAAAAAAAACAATCAAAGTGCCCACAAATGCTTACAGATCTGCTGACCCCTCTTAGACTTTGGCCAACAACATAACTTCTTACTTCTCAGCTGCTGTTGCACTTCACCTCTATGAGGTATTTACTCAAGAATTACAGTCAAATAACAACCAGTCTCTGTTGGAGGTCAGCTGTCCATTTCCTTTAAACAATCCAACACATTCCCACAGCAGCAGGAAAAGCAAGTGTGTGATATGCATGATATCCAAACATTTAGAAGGTGACACAGCAAGGATCTAGTCACTAAAGTACACGTGGACATAGATGTGTATTACAACTAAAACCTAAATGGTGCTGTGCTTTAGTAGATATTTTAATGCTGCAACTAACTTGAATCTGAGGACTCAACTACTATACATAAAAATTCAGTACTGCAAAATAAAAGATCCTACAGAATTTGAAGACCCAAATGCCAACAAGGTCACATAAGAATTTGTTTATTGCTTCCGTACACTACTGACATAAGAGCTGCTGCTAGATGCATATAAGAAATACTGCACATTTCTGAAACAATGAAAATCACATTCCCTCTGAAAACTCACAGCATAGTTAAATACAACTTAAAAAGCACAACAGCAGCACTTCTTTGCTTTGACAGTCTCCTGGTTTTGCACAAAATTTAAAAAAAAATTACCTGTACATAAAAGGTTCGAGAAGTTGTTACAATTTCAAAGAGATTGTCTCTCATCATTATATCACTGTAAATGAAACACAAAAATACTTCAGTAGCAAGTATTTCCTTTTGTACAAAGACTCTAGGATGTACAGAGAGCAATTGTTGTCTGAAGACCTTTTGGTTTTTTTTTTTTTTGGAAATATGAAGTAGAAAAAGGAAACCAGTGTCTCTTACTTATTTCGGTCTTAAAATGCTTCAGTGGCATGCCTGCTACTATTTTTAATGGGAATATTCTAAACCATAACATGTTAAGTTTAAAAATATTTACTGTTCTAGTCATATTTCTTTAAAATTCTGTATTTATATTGTTATGTCTCCATAAAGTATTAGTCCTAAAGAGTAGCCTGCTAAAAAAACCCCATATCCTACTACAAATCAATTCCTGGGTATTTTGCCATTTGGTGGAAAGAAAACAGCAGGAAGAAGAGTGTACTCATCTAACTTCAGACTTTTAATACAAGGTAATGTCCTTTAAAGGCTCAGAGATTAAATAAGCAGAACAGAGACTCCTCAAATTGCTGCCTCAAATCAGCAGTGGGTATTTTGCCATTTGGTGGAAAGAAAACAGCAGGAAGAAGAGTGTACTCATCTAACTTCAGACATTTAATACAATTCCTTTAAAGGCTCAGAGATTAAATGAGCAGAACAGAGACTCCTCAAACTGCTGCCTCAATCAGCAGCCATGCACCTCTACCTCGTGACTGCACAGCACTCATTTGTTCCACCTCTGTCCCAGGCACTTATGTTCTTCTGAACATTACACATTAACACAGAACCCTCAAAACCAGTTTTAGGGGCAGAACTCCTTGCTGTGCTGCACACAGAGTATCATACATGGTATACATCAGCTGAAGTTAAAGTTCTCCACTGTTTCCAGTGAGCAATCTAGGCATGACAAAGCAGTGTCTACATCCTGCATACTCACATCAGTGCTTCTCCCCTCACCTTTGTTTGCATTCTTGAACTTTATGGACCTCCTTAAGTGGTATAACCCTGAGAGGTTCCTTTTCCTGAAAAAAAAAAAAAAAAAAAAAAAAGGCACAAATATTTCATTAGAGTATGTCTAACAAGTAAAATATAGTCAAAAAGCCAGAGGTCAGGACAGTTGACAGCAGCACACTCATGTAAATGAGCCTTTCAAGGCAGTCACTTATGCAAAAGGTGATGTCAACCAAAGTATAATTGACTTTTGTAGTAAACCAACCATGGCAACAAAAGAGGCAAAAATCAAGAAGTAAAAAACTCAAAAGCAGTCATCCACCTTATCATAGTGGTAACAGCCACCCCTGTCCCCTTCACCTAACTAGATCAGAGAATTTAATCTGGCATCAGGCAGCTTATTTCAGTAAAACCATTATTATATTAATTTGCTGTGAAATGCTACAATACAAGATGCTTTGTTAACTGTACTGCATGACGTAGCATTAAATAAGATTTATTCTATCCTATACTCAAGACATTTAAAAATAATACAAAGAAATTAATCGTACCACAACCTGTAAAAGAGCAAGTTTCCTCAAAGCATATGAAAATTCTGTTACTGTAACAAAAATAACTATTACAGTTCTGTCATATTTACACACAGAGGACAAAGTGAGAACATTCCAACTGAAATATGTCATCATGGCAAACTGAAAGCAACACCACACATCATTTTCCTGTGGTTGTTGCAGTACAACACAAACAACAGCTTTTTTTACCTCCTAGTAAGTTTTCTTTAAGCAATGTTACAAATGGCTACTTCAATTGGCTTCAGTTTATAGACATTCCAAAAGCTGTCAGCTCTGGAATGACTCTCTTTACAAGTTAGATTACATATACTGAAGAAATTTATGTTATAGCAAACAGTGAATGTCACCCAAATATAACCATCCTCAAATGTCAGTTTCCATTAGATCACTTGTCTCTATAGGAGTTCAAATGAACAGAGTTGAAGCTCAGTGTTTTCAGTTCTCTTGCCCCTCTTCCCCTCTCTGCTCTCCCTAGGTTCATGCATCCATTACGAGTTTTCAAAGCAACACACCAAACATGAACTGCAAGATCATTCCTGGAACACAGACACCCGTTGCAGGGAAGATCTCCACTCAGAAATGGTAATTTTCCAAGTCTGATATAGCCTGTGTTCAAAACAAAATAATTCCCAGAATTTAAACTTTTATCAATTAAAAAAAAACCCCAAACATTTAAATTTTCACAAGTGGAAAGCCTGGATATAATTCTGCAGCTGCAAAGTAGCAGCATCTCTGGATACCCAGCAAGACTCATCTCAACTACCAGTGAGCAGGTTGGCTGTCAAGACAAACTCAAGTAAGAGCCACACTTGACTGAAGACAGCAGCTATTGGGAACTGAACTCCAACAGAAAAAAGCTCTCCAGAACTAGAAGTTTGACACTACACTAGGTAAGACCTCTGTGCCATAGCTGCCTTTGTCACAAAGGCACAACAAAATCACTATTCAACTTTTTTCTTATCTTTGTATTATCCTCACAAGGAGAGTATGAAGGAAACTGAGATCACATACATTGCTGAAAGCAATTATTCACCACTTGAAATCCCCAGAAGAGAGTACTTGACCCTTCTTGAGTTTGTAGGAGATAAAAGTCTGATGGACACATGGTTGAGTTCTTGTATTTGTTTTCTTCTCAGTGGGCTGCACCCTGTGAAAGCTTTGCTTTTTCCAGTAGAGATTAAATGTCTCTAACATTATGTTTCAGACAAGGCAGATCCTAATCATTTACAAAAACTATACAAAACATGATGATCATCATGATTAGGTGTCCTAATCATGGAACTCTGATTAACCACTACATTCCAATAGAAAGATTCTCTACCTTCAGCACCTCTCCAAAGAAAGATTACACTCTTAAAAAGGAAAAAAACCCAATTTCAATGGAACTCTGATTAACCACTACATTCCAATAGAAAGATTCTCTACCTTCAGCACCTCTCCAAAGATTACACTCTTAAAATGGAAAAAAAACCAATTTCAATCAGTTCAATACATTCCTCAAACTGCAGCAAGGAAGATTAGCCTGCAGAATGGAGGACACCACAAGATTTTGTACTGTTCAAACCAGTCACACTGGAAAGGAGCACAAGGAAGCACCACAAGTGTCCACGTTTCTACCAGACTTCCAGTACACTCACACAGCACAACTCTTCACCGAGTTAGAATCTGCTTGTGTGCAATTCTGCACTCAGATTTTTTTAAACAATGGATGGTTTAATACAGGCAATGAGTCAGAATTGTGTTATGCTGACAGTTTAACAAAGATAATGATGTAAGATCAAACTCCTGCTGCTACTGTTGTATGCTCCCTCATGAAAAGCAAAGCTGAAGTTCTCATCAGAAAGCGCCTGAAATTTGATTTCTTGATTATTTTACATCTTACTGGTTTGTAAGCTAAATTTCCCTTGATTTATAAACACTCTGCAACTCAGACTTTGCTCCTTAGGAATAGATTTTTTTTCCCCAAGGTTTAGTTATGTGTGGGATTCCTTTTTAGGAAAAACAGACTGTCTCCAGTACCAGCTACTTAATTTTTAAATGAAGCCTGAAGGCACTTAACATTTGGTCAAAACTGGTCAAAAGATTCAAGAGCTGTGAGTGGGGAGGACAGATCCTGAAATGAACTCTGTCAGTGTTGCCTCTGAGCAGGAGAGCTCTCTGCTTGTCTTGGCTGCCCTGGTAAGGGCAGCATGTGAGATTCGTATGACAAACAGCCCATAATCCTAACTTTAAATTAAGAATTCCAAGATTACAGCTTTGTCTCTCCACACAATGATCAACTCTTTCAACCACACAGTTCGTTATATGTGCTAATTGATCTAAGATGCTAACACAAACATCAGGGTGAGAGTAGAACGTATCTGTTCTTCAGTGCCTTACAGAAAGGTTCTCAAACAGAAAACTGAAGTTTGAGTTCACAGCCACTCTAATTTTTGTTCCTCCAGACCATGAAAAGTTAGAGTACAGAGGTAAGACCTGCAGGAGCTGCAGAGTACAGTTTTTCAAATACAAGTGTATTTCTTTAGATTTTCTTGCAACTATCACTGGAAAATAACACACTTGGAACTTACCAGTTCAGACTTGAAATATCCTATTGTGTTTTCATCTAACTGAAAGTATCTTCTCTTCCAGTTCTTCATCTGTTGAAGGAAAATAAATAGTTATATATTTTATACATAAAATACAAATATATTTACATTTATTTTCATATATTTAAATGTTATAAATACCACAATGATATTGTTCTGTACCTGTTTATTAATCTATATTAGTTTTATATATTACATATATTTATGCATGTATATAGATCTATGTGTGTATATGTATATTGTGTCCCCAAAATAATTCTGCAAGACTCTGCCCAATATTTTTTTCTAGAAGCTACTCTTTTCTACTGTAAGAATTTTTTAGTCTCCACTGAAACTGTATCAACTCAGCAGCACAAATGTCCTGTAAGAAATGTTGAGAGAGTACATTAAAGGTTCTAGTTTATTTTAAAAAAAAAAACAAAAAACCAAACACAAACAACAAACCATGACAAAACCAAGCTTCATAATTAAAGGCAAAATGCCTCTGAGGACTTGGGAAGCATGTCCACCTTGCTTAATCTGAACTATCTGCTCCTGCTTTTAGCAGGTCATCATGTGAGTAATTCCACTTGTGTTAATCAGCCTGACAAGTTGTACAATTCTTTCTCCAAACTGAAAAACTAGCTTTTCCTAAACTTTTTAGTGATTTAAAAAGGAAGCAGACATTGAACTTCTGCCTTAATTTAGATGCTTCCAGCAAGCAAAACAAGAATCTCTACATAACTGTGGAACAGAATTACTCCTAATTGCATGCACTAATCAGTGTGAAAATCTGTGCACAAACTTTTCCTCTCCAAAGCATCTCCAACAACATAACACTGAAGGAAGTCATGAAAAGAACACAAACAAATTACATGCTGCTGGGGGGTAATTTTTATCTTTAGCTTTTATCCTTAATACTGTCACTGGTAATTATGTCTTTTTTTAAAATCATTACTTGCTAAGTAGAGCTACCACCTTAGGACCTTGCTCTTGATTAATAAAACACTCTTCTCAAATACTTACCACTGCTCCTTGTTTTACACAGTAGCCAGCTTTGATAATAGCATTATCTGGGGGATGCTTAGCAGTAAAATATGGAAGGTGACTTTGGGACCGTTTCAAGTAACTCCTGTCACCCCCCTCACTGCACTCACTGATTTCTTCTTTCTAGAAAAAAAAAAAAAAAAGGCAGGAAAGATCAGAATACTCTTTTTTTCCTAAAGGTCAAAGAATATACTAGTTATAATAGGAAATAATTGCATCATCCCATGCTCACAAATCCCATTTCCAGTCTGTTTGGAAGGATAAGATATTTCAATGGATTTGTGGAGACAACTAATGAGACTCTCCAAGGGCTGTGGCTGAGTACCTGTGAGCTTCCTTCAGGAACTAAACTAAGAACATGCTGAATATGCTCTAACAAGCTCAATGAAGAATGTTACAGACATAAAACCATTACACAAACACACATATTTAATGCAAACTCACAACTTTAAGGGCAAAATCCTAGAGGTGGCTACAGCAAGGAAAAAGCTATTTCTAGGACCAGAAGACACATCAGAATTCACCAACTTGACTGCAGCTGAGGTAAATACATCTCACTTAGACTGTATTAATCCAATCTGTAACTGTTTTCAGGGAACTTCCAGAACAGATCTTTAACTATCAACACTGCATTGATTCTTCTTCCACGAGCTTGTCCAATCTCTCAAACTCAGGAAAGCTTCTTGCATCTGTACCATCTTTTGGCAAGGAGCACCTTTTTTATTATTCACTGAGAAAACTCCTTCCCTTTCTTTCACCTGGTTACAGCACTACCTTCGTTTAAAAGCCCAGAGCTCTCACACTGGCAAAGACAGTTATACACCATTCACTGTCAATTGTGAGTTTGTAGAGCTCTCCCATTCTCCTTCAGTGATTTTTTTTGCATACAGAAGAGAACCAGCCTAACTCAACTGTTCCTTGTATGGAGATCATTCCACACGGACCAATCAGCCTTGAAATCTCTCTCTGAACCTTCCAGTTCTAGTTTTTAAGATGAGAACAAAACTGGACACAGCAATCAAGGTCTGGACAAAGACAGCATTTGTACAGCAACGAAGATGTCTTCTGGTTTGTTCCTTATTCTTTTTCTAGTAACTCCTAGTATTTGTGGGGTTTTTCCTCCACTGTTACTGAACACGAAGATGATGTTCTCACAGCATGCCTGTAACTCTTCCCTCTCACTCAAGAAGAAACTTATTTCACAATCTAGAATTTCCTATTAAAAAAGAGGAATGATCTTCTCAGAATCCCTTACATCACATTCATTTTTACTGAATTTCACTTACTATCTCATTTGTCCACACGTGCCATTTCATAAGGCCCTTCTGCAATAGTTTAATCTGTCATCCTCACTACCTCTAAGAACAGTGAATACCAAGTCAGCTGACTGAATCACTTCCTTTTTTTTGCTCCCTTTTCCTGGCAGTGAAAAAGACAGAACTTTGGCATTAACGTCAACGATTCATTTCACACACACAAAAAGCTGTTTTCAGCACACTAACTGCTATCTGTGAGCAATCTGACTCATCTAATTCTTTATATTCTTTCATAATTCTCTGTAATTTCTTATAAAGGGAATAAAAACCTCAAAAAACACCAGTCAATAGCAATACAAGGTGTACATCAAAGTGTAAGCCCCCTGAGCCAAGTGAGCAGCTGACAGCTGTACTGTTATATGTAACCTATTCTCACCTGTCAAACAACAAAGATTCCTCTGTCAAACAATTTTAAGGGTATTACCTGGGTAGGTGTAATGATAGGAACACCACCAACAATTTCAGTCCTGTAGGAGACTTGCTTCTTTCCACCTGGGCTTTCAGCTTGACGATTTGCATTATCCATCTGACAGAGAGGATCAGACTGCTTTGGTACCTGCAAGTAGAATATAATTCATTTCAGTTTTACAAAGACCTTAAAATAGCCCTAATCATTACTGAAGAATTTTTAATTGGTCTTCAGCAGGTTTTAACAGATGTTCTTTCATTGTAAAAGGCTAGAAACAGCTCAGAGGAAAATGTGTTGCAAAGGCTATGCCTTAGTTCTCAGAAGAAAACTGGTGCCAATAAAGATATTTCACCAGGTGTCTTGAAATCTAAAAATCAATTCCCAGCTTTGCCATAAACACTATGCTTGATCTTCAAGAAGTACTGCTGATTTGTACAAGAAATGCTTCTTTATTTTCACTTGCTTTCTGTTTTAGTAGCAAGAGCTTTAGGCTGGGGATGCCCCAGTGCCTGTGGAGCAAGCCCAGCAAGGCCATGAACACAGGGCAGCTGTCCTGAGACTTCTGTCAAACAGGACACCAGAGCAGTAGGACATCTGTGCTCAATTCCAATATACATATTGCTCAATTCTGCCCAAAATGACCCTAACTACCTATTTCTAGCTATCATTAACTATTAGATAATTCTCTCCAATGCAGAACTAAAGCAATCAAAACACCAAAGGGATTTAATTTCCCCAATAAGTGTTTTGGTCTAAAAGTTTGCTCAGATTTCTGAGTTTGTCCAAGAAGATCTGTAACCCAAGAAATGCACCGACTGGCTACCCAAGACATTTTCATTTATAACCTCCTTTCACCTCTAAAGTGAATACAGTCAATTTGAAGTGACTTCAACAAGCAGAGACCAAGAGTCTCACACCAAAATACCCTAGCCAGCAACCTACTGGATATTTACACAGATGTCCAAACTCCTTCAGAAAAAGAAGGGACACACAAATTGTCTTTACACAAATAAAAAACCAAGCTACTTTATAGTCTGCTGTGATTCCAGTCCCTGTGCCCAGGACTGCACATTTTCCAAAAAAACAGCCTGCAAAGAAGTACAAACAGTGTAAAGAGCACAAATGTCAGCCTAGGACAGCTTCTTCCTGGCCAAGTGAAGGTGGCACTCAGCAGCTTGCTCCACTGTGGCCTCAGGCTCATTCTGTCACTTCCAACGTGCCCTCAGCCTCACACAGCCTATGTCCAGCTCTGCCAGCACAGGTACAAGGTGACTCCATCCACAGCCAAGTCTGGCACTGAAGGGGAAGATGTTCTCCTAGAGCACACAGTGACCACAGGCCTCACCCTTTGCAAGGGGCTTGCAGCTACAGCTTCATGCATGGGTGCTTAGCCATCACCAACTCCTACTTAAAATGTTACAGGCCAAACCCACAGTCACCTCCTCATGTGAATGCACTGGCAAACAGTACTCACCAATAGGGACACAATGTGCCAGGCTGCAAAGGGTCATGGTTGTTTTGAAATTCTCAGCACCCAGAGTAATAAAAAAAACCTAATGACTCTGGAAGGATTTACAATCTACTGCAAGTAATGCTCATATGAAAATTAACAATTGAATTACCTTAATTATTTGATTAAATAATTTGCCATACTAAACCTCTGAAGAGATTAACAGTTCAAAGACTTGTTCCTTCAAAGACCAAAAAAAAAACCCTAATGATTTCACTGGAATGCAAGTTAAACATGATTAACAGCTTTCAGACTAAGCTCTAATTTGATGATGAAAAGTAAGGAAGTTGGTGGCAACAAATATGAATGTGTGCACCCACAGGCAGAGCCCCTGCTTTGTAAGGATGTGCTCTCAGAACGGTTCATGTCATCACTTCCCAAAACTGGAGAGAAAACAAAACCATAACTTCAGCCTCCTGAAAAGCCTGAGGTGATAGGTGGGATTTTCTATCACACCAGAACAAGCTGTCCTGGTGCAAACCAGGAAGGTAACTGAACACTTATAAGAGACTGAACTGATGTTTCTTTGAAGGGATGTTACATGAAATCAGCAGAGTGCCTTTGGAAGATGGCATGATGTATTTCCTCATTGTTTTCATGACACTTTTAAGAAACACAAACTTTTGACACCAGGCAAATCTATATGTATCTTTTCATTGCTTGCAAGCATCTTCTGGAGATTTCAGCTAATGTTGAATTTGTATGGTTAATTTTTAGAAGTTATTCTGTGCTGTAATGAAAAAGATAATCACATTTTGGCCCAATTTCCAAAGCAAAAAATAAACTCCAGTTTAGGGGAAGTTCTGTACAGTTCCTCCAAGCCTTGGAAAGCCAAGCCAAGGCCTGTTTGTAGAGATGAAAAGACTGCTCTAGCACAAAAACTGGAGGCAAAGGTTACAAATAAGCACCTTGAGACAGTCACCATTTGAAAATGTCACCAAATACCAACTAAACCACTTACTGTGATTTTGGTAGCTTTGTTCAGAACGTTTACCCATTCAACTAGGTCCTGCTGATCATTGGCTTGTAGAAAGTATTTTCTCATCCCTGCATTCATAACTGTTGAAACACATTATGAAAAGTTAACAACACTGAAATTTAAAAGAAATCTTAGCACCATCATATAAAGATTTGATTTCAGATGGAGAGTCCAGTTGAAGCACTGGATCTCTCTGGCTCCATTTCTTTTTAGAAAATCATCTTAAGATACATAAATCCACTTGAAAAGCTTGTTTTAGTCTAAAATAAAAAAAAAAACCACAACCAACCCTTTTTCTTTTTTTAGGCTTTCCACTTAAACAGCATCATACAGAATTTGTCAAATTATTTATTACATAGAAAGCAAGCCTTGAATCTTATCACAATTTTCAAAAGCTCCATCTCTCTAAGCAACAAAGTTTTATACTGGGGGATTTCTCCTTTTAATCCACCAACCAGTATCTGTTATCCTTTGCAAGAAATTCATTAGTACAACACTATGATGACTGATTTTATTATTTTAATTTGTAAAAAAAAAAAAACATATTACTAATCATATGATTCTTAAGACAAAGCAACTTTAAAATAGCCAGAACAAAACCTTTATTTTCCTTTAGTGACTTGGCAGAGAAAGCATATTTTTAAGTTGGTATATCTACTTGGCAACCCCTAGCATACCTTTATCCAAAGGCAAACTTATTTCTGTGTAACAGTAAAAAAATCATGGCTAGTTTTCTGACAAATTCTAATAATTTGTCTTGAAATTAGTCTTAAGGTGAAGAGTAACCAAGGGTGAACAGTGGCAAAAACCTTCCCAGAACTTTGAAGCCCTGCAGCTGAAGCCTGAACAGATTTTGCTGCTCTCCCTGGAACACCACAGTTCTTCAGGTCATTGCTAACAGCAAACACATGCCAGAAACAGATACTTCTTACTCTTCTATCATCTTTCTCCCCAAAGCAGATGGTTTGAAGCAAGTGTTATTAGATCCAAGCATAAATTCAAAACACAGAACTGTATGAGTTGAGTGAAACAACTCCCAGTATTTAAATTAAAAGACAATAAACAAATTCTTCCTCTAAGAAAGCATCGCAATCACTTTAATAAATCAGAAATATGGAAAGCTTTCTGCCAGCATCTTGGATCATTAAGGCTTTCAGAGCTGGCCCACTGACAAGAGGAACTTTACAGCTGCTGAAGACAAAGCCCTCCACACGTGCATGTGCAGAGGCATCTGTAGATGGCACTGAACTGACACGTTAGGTACTAGTCTGAGATCCCTTCAGCCTTGCACATGGGGTGGATCTACCAAGTACTTCACCAGCTCCAGCAGAGACTGCACAAGTCCTGTGGAGATGCCTCCTCCGGGCCTCTAAAACACTGCACATGTCAAAGGACACCTCAACTCATCATCATAAAACCTTCAGGCTTTTTTAGCACCTTAATCCAAGCTAAAACTCTTCCAAGAATGCAGCCATAAGAATGGTTATTAATATACAGAGCACAGGTCTGATTCCAGTCTCTACAAATACTTGTGTGATTAACAATTGCTTGTCAAAAAAAAAAAAAAAGAGTTGAATTCTAATAAATTCTGGAGAAACTACTTGTAAGAAAAACCTAAAAAGAGATCATAAGAAGCTTTTATGGTTATCTAAAGCTTTACCCAGTTTTAAAGGCACCCCAACCAAATTCTTTGGTGCAGCAACAGGTGCTGCAATTGAATGCAAGAACATGGGCTGACAGTATTTTTAGATTAATTACATTAACTCGTATCAGTAGTCCAGATCAAAACAGTTAAATTACTTGTCTTCAGAGCTGAGAGGCATGCCATGTTTCTGAAAACACCCATCACTTTTGATTAGCTTAATGCTGCAAAAGTTTCAAACATCTAAAAAACAGCTCTCACCTACTTCTCTTTAAGCTGCAATATGAAAAGCCACAAAGCCACCTGATGAGGCAGCCAACACTTCCTTCATAATAAAGAAGAAACAGGGAATATAACCTATTTAAAAAAAAAAAAACACACTACCAGCTGTATCTAGAAACAGATCTGCAGAACATGATCTTTGTTTCAAATATCTGAAGAATGTACATGCAAGAACTTACCAAAACAGAATTCTGCCTTTGGCCTTAGCTTAGTTGCATCGCTAACCTAGGATGGAAATTAAGATTGGAAAGATCACTGTGTGTACAAAATATACATCAGGTATCACAAGGGTTTTTTTTCCCCTCTTTCAATAGGCTAAATTTGAAGATCAGCAGCACCACAAGCTACCAGACAAATGCTGAAGTCTGAAAACATTTCTGTACTCATGGTATAAGCAGTATCAATAATACCTTTTACAAGAATAATAAAAAAAAAACACACAAAAGAAGGAAGGTGGAAAGATGCACTGACACAACAAGAAAAGCAAAGGAAGAACGAGAAATGAGCAGAAAGACAAGAGAAGGTCAGTTATTTTTCTCCACTTATTTGTTAATGCAGCATCTGCTACAAATTTAACCATGGAGACTTTCTCAGTTCCCAATTTTCTTTCAGCCATCTTTGGAAGTCATGTGTATATGGAGTGTAATGCAGTAAGTATTTTCTAGAAATTTCCCTGCTCTATCCATTAAAGATCATTATTTCATGCAAACTATCACACTCAAAAGACCTATCTTCCACTTCATAGACAGCCTGTCTTTTCTCCAGGACTAACTGGAATTCAGACATGCACAAAGAACTTAAACAGTTCAGAAACAATCATTCTATGCAGCACAAAGAGCTGCCATTTGAAATCACAAAACCTAGATGACATGGTAATTAGTCTGTTCTTATTTTAACCTGATGCTACTGAAGTGTTTGTATCACTTCTCTAAATTTCACAAGTAGCACACAAGTGAAAAGCTTCCCATGCACTACAAAAGAGGCATTTAAAATTGCCTAAAGTTGAGGGTTCCAGAAGCAGCCCTTGGTAGTTAACACTAAAAATTTAGCAACAAATGTCTTGCATATTATCTTACCTTTGAGATATAGGTAAGTTTAATGACTCCAACAGGTGGAGATCCAGAGGGAAGATTCTAAAAGAAATCACATTACAGAGTGAAACTAGTTTATTCTCATGGTGCAGTCAGTGTTTACACATAAAAAGCAAGTAATTCCACAGACAAAAGGAAAATCCTCCATGTTTTGATAGACAATACACAATGTACACTTGAAACAGGATCTAAACTACTTGTTTATTATACACACATCTGTTAATCAACTAAAAACAGAAAGACTGCTAGAAACAATACAAGTAGCAATTGTTTCAGGGGTTTATGTATTTGACTAGAGGAAAAGGGATTCTTGCAGGTCTACATCCAGGAAATCCGGACAGAATACTTTTCCTTAGCAGATGTTGGAGCCCTGTGTACTCCGAGCAGGGCAGGCGGAAGGGACAAGGAGTGACATTGGTGTATTATGTCAGACACTTCAAAGGCTGCCCCATCTATTTTCCAAAATGGATTGAAAACCTGTAGTCCAATCGTTTAAAATTAAATTTATGGCAGGGAAAGATCACGGCACTTCCTGAAGCTGCAGTTAAGCCCAGGTGTATTTACAGCCCAAAAAGGAGCCAGCCGTTGTCTTCAGACCCTTGCTCAGTGCCCCAATCTTAACACTGACATCAGTGTCCACAGCAGCCAGTAGCCTAGAAATGTCACACCTAAAGAACAGAGCATCACAAAAAATGGTTGACCTTTTTATTAGCTGTTTCTGACGACAGCCTTCCTCATTTTATTCCTCCAAAGACAGCACTGTTTTCAATACACTTTTTTTCCACTATAATTTTTACTTTAAAACCTGCCCTTTACGTTACAGTATCATTCTGCCCACTACAAGCCCCCCTGGTGACTGTTAAGAATCCTCCTGCATCTGTTCCCTGATCCTCTCTCCAGCTAAAGTCTCTTCAACACTCTGTAGTTCCTTATGAACTTCTAAATCACAAAGAGGAGCCTAACACTACCCATGGAGTCAGAAAGACAGACGAATATTTGGTTTATGCTCCATTCATATTTCAAAGGCAAGAAGTAGGTTAAGTTTATTGGTAACAATGAAACTAAGAAACACCTAACCAACCAAGTCTTCTCATTCTGCCCAAATAAATAATTTTGACTTTAACAGAATGATTCTGATCCCAGCATACACCAGTTTTATAATCTTTATATTAGGATAAAGATGCGTGTTTCATGGTGAAATAAAAAACATTTCTTTGAACAGATAAAATGATTTTGACAAATACAAACAGAGCACTTTTAACAACAAAAAGAGCCCAGTGAAGTTATTCTCTACTAAGAGTTTCCTCTCTTGAAGGATTAAGAATAGTCTCTACACAGTGGCTCTACAAAAGTTCTGTAGCTCTTCAAAACTAAAGCTGCAATGTAAAAAAAACCAAGAAGATTCAACCTGCCCCTTGCAAGGCAGCCTTTTATTTGTGCATAAACTCTAAGATTAAAAAAAAAAAGATAAAGCCTAAACTAAAAATGTTAAGATGTGTGCACGACAAATATCATTAGTCTTAAAACTTCTGAAGAACTGCAATTTCTACAGCATTTCAACTTTTTGTCCACATGCCCTGGTTATATCATAGAAGAAACTGAAAAAAAGAAAAAGCTTGGTATCTCTCATTGAGATTAAAAGTTTGAAGACTCATTTCCAGAAAGTGTTTCTTTTTTCTGCCCAGTAAGAACTGCTAAGTGCTCCACTCACAAGTCACATTCATTGAGCTGCACAGTGTTTAAATTTTTTTTGTTGGTGGTGGTTCCTTTGAACTGTAGGTTTCTACTGCATTTTAAGTGTGGTCTTCCTGGCAGAATGGTACATGAATATTCTTCTGTCAGGCAGCTGTCAGCTGACCTAGATCCTATGCTTTTGCTGTCTCCATACCCAAACCTTAAGCAATTATCTGTTCTCCCATGTGCTGGAAAACACATGGATGCATGTACATTGTAAAAGCAGCTTTTGTAGAAAGGCTGCTCTCCATCAAGATAGAAAAGTTTTCCTCATTCCTATACCATTCACGCTGCATTGAAATTGCAAACATCATCAGAAAATGCTTTTTGGTGGCCAACTCTGTTGAGGTAAAGCAATATAAAGCAGTGAACTGACCCATGCAAAGAAAACTACATACTTCCACAGCAGGTCTTTTAACTCACCTTTAACCTGTGCAGTGAATTTAGGAGGTGATTTGGCTTGTCTGGTTATATTATATCACACCACCCAATGCCTGCCAGAACTCATACTCAAGTCAGTTAATAGAAAATAAATACAAGAATTCAAAACTAATGACTGATTTATACATGGGATCAAATTCAGATTTCCATCTCACCTCTAAATCTCACGTCAATACTTAGACTCCATATGTTGGCAATTCACTGGCGTTCAAGTTGGTTTTAATGTTTTACTATGAAGTGCAATTAGTGATGGTCTAAAGAGACATATGAACTAGATTTTTTTCTTTAAAAGACTGCATGTATTAGCAAAGAACACTGACTTACAATTCTTTCACTTAGACAACTAATTTCCTTCCCCCTTATCTTCCACGTCCATAAGCCAACTCAAAATCTTATTTTTAAGTAAATCTGTTTAGAAAAAAAAAATCAAACTGAAAAAGTGGGAATTGCTAGAAGCCAGGAATCTGTTGCCAAGAAGACCTCACCTGTGGGTTGTCCATGTACCACACCAGGCTGTCCTCTCGTGTGTCCAGGATGAAGTACCGCCGCAGGAATTTCCCACTATTCTCATTTTCTTCAATATCTAGGAAACCACAGATGCGATTCTGACGATCCACATAAGGCATTTCTGACCCTGAACATCACACTGCCAAACAGAAAGCACAGGAGTTAAGTACAGTTCCTCCCTACTAATTTTAAGACTGTTCTGTGCCTCCCCATGACATTTTGAGCAGTTTCAGCTAGCAGCTTACAGAAGTTCCTGCAGAAGACCAAGTGAAGTGTAGCTGTTTGCCCTGAGCTACCACCACTGAATTTTTATGTAGGTCTTCCTTACTTTTCTGAAGTATATTCTTAGGCTATCTAACACCCTAAGTGCAAAAACACAAGTGGTGAAGAGCACACTAGCATCAAGACCAGCTTTCACATCATCACTACAGAATAATCAAAGATTCTCCCTCACCCCTCGCACACGGCTGAGATAACGCTGGGTTTGCACTTCCTCCTTTGACATTGCCTTTCATGGGCAGGAAAGGATCTTTGCCAGCAGCTCTACTGCCCAACGTGACTTTTTCACATTTTGCTTCAGCAAATTCAAGAAAAAGGTTGTTTGAAAAGCTGTTCACATTTTTTTTCCTCTTCTCCTACCAAAAGGGCTTCTCTTCTAACCACGTCTCTGAACAGGTATCTCTCATCCTTGCACACTAAAGTCAAGATGAAGTTGTGTGTGCAGCAGCAGATGTGAACACACTTGCAAGTCCAAAACTGAAATCCTCAAAATCCACGTGGTCATTTTGTGGGTGGCAGAATTTCTTTTTTATTTGGGGGTTGGTTGGGTGGGGGGTTTTTCCTGCCTTTTTTTTTTTGTTTGTTTTCCTTTAAAAAAGTAAACGAATAAAAATCTGAACTGCCAAGCACCTATTCCCATTTTGCCTGCTTCACCTTTTATGGCTCTGTCTTACTGCAGCCTAATGACTTGTTTGTTTCATTTTATTTTTTGGGACAGTTATTTTAGCTTAAGAGCCAGTCTTGTAAGACCAAAGATAAATTTGCATACATATCTAAAAACAGCAATAAACCAACATTTAAATATGATAAAAAAAGGGGTCGATGCCAATCCTTCCCAGAGCAGGAAAGAAACAGTTTAGTCTTTACATTTTAGTACAAAACTCAGAAATAGTACATATACAAACATATTAACATGACACATAGAAGGTTTAAGCACTTCAAACTTTTCATAACAATTTCCAGCTTTCACTGTGTAATATGGAAGTTTCTTTTCAATATTTCTTGATAATTTTTACCTTTATTATTTCCTTAAAGTTATTTGATTTAAATATAGTTATATACCCACGCAATGAGGCAGATGCCTGGTAACCACCTGTAGCTATTGATACACCACAGCAGAACATTATATACAGTTAAGCACATTTTAAAGTGCTTATTTGGAGGAATCCAATATACAGATAAGTATACACTTATTCTGGAGGAACTGGATATATAAATCCTTCTATATACAGTTCTATATACAACTGTCATTTTATAGGACTAATTAGAATCCTAGGCAAGTTTTGCTTCAACCACTTTAAGAAGCAATTTTTTAAAAAAATTTATTATTTTGATACCATAGTAGAAGAATTTCTAGTAAACAGTTGCAAGTCTTTTAATTCAACCTGTAAAACAACTACTCTTTTTTTGTGCCCAACACCAAACTAATCTTCTGGTGCAAACTCAAGTCAGATACAGCAAGTTCAACATCAGGGACCAGATCTAAATCTCAATTCAGTTGTATCTGCAAAATGTTGAGAGATTGGAGTATCAATATCATAGCAATGACAGATTATTAAAAATAATCAGTTTGAGTTTTTTTAATATAAGCTATTACATTCTAAAGTTAAATACATTTTTGTGCATAACGAAGTTAACAAGCTTTTGTTTGCAATGCAAGATGTTCTATATAGCTACAAGGACATTAAACGTGTATAAACCTTCCATTTAGCACCTGACTGATCCATTTTTCTTTCCACCTCCAAAAGGCAAGAGTCTCCATATATACGGTATGCAACAATGGTTTAAATTTTCACAGGCACAGCTTTGTTCTTCAATAAAGTAACAAAATGTGCTACAGTAACCTAAATTTTATTGGTAAGTTCTCCACGATTTAAATATCACAAATCTAAGACAAGCTCTGTAACCAAGTTATAAGTAACAGCAAATTCAAACACTTGAGCTCTCTTAAGACATTGTCATAATGGTAATGAACATTCATCAGCAGTTCACACACTGGCTTTTGGGATCACTTTGAACTGAAGCAACATCTCACTCTGGCCACATCTGTAGCTAGGAGCAAGCTCAAGGTCAGCTCTTCTCTAAATGATACCTCTAAGCTTGGCATCAACCATTGTCTTCACTGAAATGAGCAAAAACCTTGCCATGTACCAGTATTGTCCTAAGTTGTGCCAGGTGGTCCCTCAAGAAAACACACAGCACTTCCACGACACCACTGCAGCTTAACAGCAACAGCTTCTGAAGCCCAGAAAAGCCTTGTGCCTAAAAAAAGGCAAATACTGGTGGCTGGTTTCCTGTCTGAGCAGGCTTGAGCTGCGTCCTCCGCAGACATGAAGAAAATGAAGCAAGGGAAACTTGGTTCTGAAACAAGATACCAATTGATGAAGAATCCCTCAAGAATCAACTGAATTTCAAAGCACTTTCTCCCTATAGGAGAATCTGTTTAAAAAAAAAACCTTATAAGAAAAATGAAAGGAGGATACTGATAATGCTCTGGTGTGAGCACACAATTAGCTGAAGTTGAACAACTCCAATACTCTTTTTTTTTTTCTCTCCAAGGCAAAAGACAAAATTCAGAAGCTTTCTCTTATTTGTCAATGAAAGAATTTTCACAGGAAAAAGCCACCCTAAATTCACAGAGATTTTATATTTCGAAGTACTACTAGCTAATTTCTAGGCTACAAAATGATACTATTTGCAGTTCCTTTTATACAGGATGAACTATCAGTTAAGAATTTGTGGAACTGCTGTTTTCTTCAGATTAGTTCAAAATTCCTCACGCAGTTTCAGACCTCTAGCAGACTGACACTCTTAAGGAAGAGGAGATAAAAAAACCTCTAACTTTACAATAAAACTAGAATTGAACATGAAATCATGCAACTCTTTTTTTTCCAGTTTAAAATGTCTGCTTCCACCACATTACACCGTGGAAAGATTCCACTGCAAGTTAAAACCAATTCTATTCAGCATTCATTAACAAACCACATTTGGTAATGCACATTAGAAAAAAAATAATCAATTTGTGCCCTTCTTCCAGTGACTAAAGGAACTGAACATACATGATGAAACCACTGCTGTGACACCCTGACAGCTCCAGACAGACCAAAAAGCAACAGTGATGGAAGTACCACATTGCTTCTAAGGAATCACAAAAGGAACTGTAGAACTCCAACATTAATTCCCCAGTGCAGGAAATACATGAAGACCACCAGCCTAACAATTTGCTAGAAGTTCAACTTGAGTGTCTTCAGAATACATATCCTGTCTGACACAGGGATGGGATTTATTTTTCACAAAATTATTTCATGTGATTATAAAACCAAAATCTCCAAGTCTATGTACATTTTACAGCTATCACACACACCTTGTTATTGTGATAACTCTTCTATCCACTTCTAGAATTAAATGTTATAAAAAGATTATAACTTCTTGGAAAGAAGAGCTGAAAGCATCAAACTTAGAATACAGACAACTTCATTTTATTTTGCCTTCCCTCCCCAGTGTGGGAGGGGGCAGGGGAAGAAGATGCAGGTCAGTGACATAGTGCTACTTCAGAAAAAACAAGAAAAAATATCCCTGTGGCCCGTTTCCTCTCAGCTCTTGCTATAACCTAACAGAATCTAAAATATTCTTGAAAACTCATTTTGAGGTGTATATACACATATGTAAGAATTCAGAAAGCTCTCAGCTCTTTAAGACTGGGCTGTGTTATAAACCAAACAGGAGGTCTCACTTATTTTGGAAGTCTTACATCCCTCTTTCCAGCAGCAAAGCACTAATTTAAGTAGGTGCAGAGCTCATCGGGCCAGCCTCTCTCACACTTCCCCTCTCACCTCTCTCTTCCTCTGAGGCAGACCATACAACATTCCTCAACATTTATATCACAAGCTGCAGGCTGCCTGGCCTCCTGGGCTGCACCATAAATAAACCCACAGCTCACCTTCTCCCTGTCCAGAACTGTAACTGCATGGCTGCACAACCAGAGCTGCCACAGCAGCATCTCCTCCACACCATTCAGAGCAGGCTGCTGGAGCTCTCCTACACTGCTTCCTATTTTTAGTTTCACACCAGCACCTGCTCTCAAGTTCACCTCCTTCACAGCTTGGCTGCAGGCTCTGTACCTTCAAGGAGAAAGTGCATACAAGAGTACTGAAGTGGCACACAAGGAAAGATTTCTGTGGCCCAGTGTCACCCTTGTGTGCACAAGCCATGGACCACTGGCTCACTACAGAAAGTGGCATTCTGTATGAATAAAAACACCATGCAATAGGCTTTGCACTAGCCACATGAAAACCTGATTAAGAAAAACAGCACGATGAGCACCAGTCCTTAATACCTTTTAGCTGTAGTTTACATGTGTTTTCCTCAAGGTTTATGTATAATTTTATTACTATATTTCTTTAATTTAGAGTCACATTCCTATTTCCTGCCCTATTAGTGTGTGGATGTTTTAAACTTTGGGTTTAACTTACCATACGAGATGCTTTTGGGGTTCTTCTTCTCTCAGAAGGAATATTAAGAAACACACAATAGCTCCCTACTCACCTCTATGAAAGGATGGACAACATCCACAAACCAACACTCGATCAATATAAAATGCTGTCATGAGTCATGCCTGTGCTCCTCCCCAGGCCCCTTTTCAAGCTCTACTCTTTGCAGCAGCTCCACAGCCACAGAGGGAAGGCAAGCACCATCCCAGTGACCCCCAGTCCTTCCTGCAGTTCCAGGGACAGTTAATTATTGAGTGCTCTTGGCTTCTGCCTAGGCAATTACTATCAGCTTCCTGCTGTAAATCAGCTACTCTCCAGTTGGTCATCTCTTTTACTGGCCATTTACTCCACTTACTGACTCCCA